AAAGTACAGCATGGTTCTTAGGAAGACTAAAATAAAGATAAGGTTAATTACATATTGAAGTGCAATTTGCATTTAAAGTTAAATAATGGGGATGTATACTTAGTCAAATGTTTCAAACAAAAGGGAAAGAATTAGCATTTTCCTCCCAGAATAATCTGTCTATTTTTATTTTTAATTAAACTAGCTATATCAGGTATGTATAGATCATTAAAATAATAAAAAATAATGCATAATTCTAATAGTATAATAGAATGTTTCTCTTTTTGGATATTTCTTAATGGGGTCAGAACTCCAGCGTGTGATTTTGAGAACATTTTTTGTCCTAAAATCCTAAATCCAAATTCTTTAACAGACTTGAGAAGCCAGAGCTACATTCCTTAGCACAGACTACAGAAACATGGGTGATTATCCCAACAAAAGGTTGTTTTATACATGTTCCCCTGCACTTAAATAACTTCCTTGATTCCAGTCACCCATCCCAAAGCAATGACAAGGGATTGAAAGAAGGAAGAAATTATTGCAGACACTTGAAATCCTATACAAACACTTTAAAAAAAAAAAAAACAAGTATGATTCAGGATTACTTCTCTTGAATATAGTATACAAGGTGTTCAAAAGGATGATTTTTACTGGAAATGTCATCTGGGCTCTACCCATAGTTACCTCTACAGCATACCAAGCACACCTTGAATGTCTTCATCAGGTGTTTTGGGTACCAGTAATTTAGTAGTAAATCCTGGTCATCAAGATTGATAGATCAGTTAATACTCATGGCAGGAACTCCATTGTCTTATATAACCTGAATAACAGAGTTCTGAGGAAAGCCAGAGATGGTATGAACAGAATGGTCACCAATAGAAACTTCCTTTTTCTTTCTTCACTGAATATTCCTTCAGCAGAAATTGGTTGGGACCATCGTTTCACACAACTCACATAAGCCAAGATTAAGATGAATTCTTCTGTGACTTATGAGACTGCATAAACAGATTTTGCTCATTTCCCCCCCCCAGGTTTGTAATTGAGAAACAACCAGAAAAAGAATATTCTAAAGCTAAATAGTGAAAAATAGGAGAAATCAATAATGAATAATAACTAGCAACATTACTATTTATAAATAACTAATAATTATGAGAATATTAATATTTTCTTTTTAATAATAAAGTTTTAGTTGAGTACTAGAAGGAAATTTCTCCCCATCTTTCTATGCATTTTCCCATGTGACAGCTCTGAGACACAAAATTGCAGCTACAGTTGGTATGTGGTTTTTACACACTGCCATATCCTGAGGAGTTACATCCACAGACCAAAACAGGGCAAAAAGTCCAAAAGAGAGACAAGAGAAGAGGGGACTCCTTGTGTTAGAAAGATGAAATTAGACAGAAAAGATAACATATTTATTCCCAAGGAGAGGAGGTCCTCATTCATTCATGCAGGCCTCCTGCTGCTGGCTTTGCTTGATTACATACTTGTAGGGACGGGCCATTCTTGAGGTCAGGTAAGTTATCATTGAAAATCAGCCAGTTCTTCTGAACCCTTGTTTTCTCCAAAGCCATGGGGTTATCCCAGGCAGATCTTTGGACTGGTGGATGTATAAAAGAATCTCCCTCCATTCCAAACACATCCAACAGTGTCTCCACTATCTTTCACACATAAGGATCACTGAGAAATGAGAATTTCTCTGAAAGGCTTATCTTAATGTTAGTAGCCAACAAGTGCTGAAAAAGTAAAACTCCAAGGAACTAAAAAATTAGAGCAAAGGCAGCACATTTTACTGCTCTGACACCACTGGACAAGTCAGAGCAGTAAAATGAGAAGGAAAGGAAAGGCATGGAAGAGATACAATCAGAGGGTTAGAAGAGGAGCTGGAGAAAGGTTACATTTCTGAGGCAGAGGAGAGATCATGAAAAGCTGAGAGCATTGATATTGTGGGTGTTCTTGCCTGAGGAAAAATACAGCACTTTGTAAAAGACAATAAAACAAGACTTTGTCTTTGCAAAAGACAATGAAAATTCCAAAATATCTTGTAAATACTGGAGAAAGGAATTTCTTTCCTCTATTAGAGATCTGCATTTTTCTTTCTGCCTTCTGTGAAATAAATTCTGGCTTTCAGAAGTGCAGCTGACTAACACAACGTGTTTAGAGAGAAAAGAACCAGATTATACTGAAATAGAGTTGAGGTGATAGATGTGTAATGCTGAGCCCAACAGTGTAAGAGAGCTACGTCTGTATTTCCCTTTTGAGAACATAAGCTTGTTAAGCTGCTGAATGAAAAAAAAAAAAAACAAACTGAGAAACACAACAATGAGGAGATCATGAGTAAAATCTGCAACTACGTTAATCTTACACTTAACAGCTTTTCAGCAAAGCACAGCAGCAAACAACAGAAGGGAGAATAAGATCAAAAGTTAAAGCAATTCTTTGCACAGACTCAGCCCCACTCTTAGGGTTACCATATTTCTGCCTGAAATTTTCAGGCTAGAAGTGTGTTTGTAGTGCACATGCAGCATTTCTGATATGCCCACATTGCCTGATGACTGAGGTATGCCTGTAAAAGTGATACGTCTCAGACTCCTTGTCTGCTTGTGCCTTCACATGTGACCTAAGCAACTCACGCACAGGAAATAAACCCTTTACATCCTGACGGATATCTTGGCTTCTTCTGTGACTGTAAATTAAGAAGTATCCAGAACTTTTCTCAGCAATTAAACACAGTCATGTCTACTAATACACTGTAGGAACAACTTCTGCTGTGGTTCTGGCCTGTGCCAAGAAGCATAATTTCAGGAAAATCCCAGTGCTGGCTCTTCCAGTTGGCCTTGGAGCTCACAAACACTTCCAGACACAGGTATAAACATTCCCACATATCAGCAGTTTAGACAGTATGGCCTGCTGTCCACACTGGCTGCAGGGCAAGGTCCTCTTACCTACCAGAACTATAATTTCAGCAGAAAAAGTCTTTGGTAGATATATTCTGTAACTACAATGAAACTTACATGCATCATGCACACAAATGCATTTGTAATTAAGAGGCAACCATGATTACCCTTCCCCATGGACTTTGGGACACTTTATGTGCTGGTGCTACATAACTCTGCTTCATTCCTTGTTCCTCCAGAGTGAATACAGTGAGTATGTGCAACTTTTAGTAGGAGGATGAGTATAAAGTACATTAATGCGTTTTAGAGTGCAAGTAGACAGACAACTAAAGTATAAGAATTTTGAAATATAAGGAAAGGTTATTATGTAATACCAAGTATTTTTTTTAATAAAATCCTATCACTTAAGCACTTAACCTACTTCTCTATGCCATCAGTTGTTGATAGGAGAAATTTTGCGTGTATGAACGCCATACTCTTTAATAACATTTTGCATCAAGTAGAAGAAAGATTATTTTTGAGGCATGAAAAAGGAATGTTTTGCCTTTCTAAATGTCTGATTAGTATTTCTTTTTTTCACACTCCTGCATCTGCCAAAGCTGAGATCTCTCCTGCTTGGTCGAAAGCTAGAAAATTTATTTATTTTCTGCAACAGCTCCTTCTTGGCAAAGTGACAGTGGGGGCATCACTGCAGAGGGCTGATAGTGGCAGCTGCAGTAGGGGGTTTGCTGCACTTTGGTTGGTTGTATGTTCAGCTTTGGAATCCTTCTGCATATGCATTCCAGTTCCAAACAAATCCCAGACAATTCTAAGGAAAAAAATTGATCAAAACATAAATTATGCCAGTGGTTTTCTTTATTTCCTGTGTGCATGCTTTGAACCATTCTTTACTTCATGTACATATAATGCTTCTGCATGATGAGGCCCCAAACCATATATTAACATTAGAGGAAATAGATTATTTCTTCTTGACAAGTGACAGAGATCTATTCACAGGTAAAATGAACATTAAGTTATTTAGAATAGTGAACTGGTACCCATTTACACTTCCTAACACTGGAGCAAGTAACTAGCAGCTGTATAGCCACAGGAAACTGGTCAAAAAATACTAAATTCTGCAAAACGTGTAAGAAAGTGAGGAAGTGCAGCTAATTTTAATTCAATGTTTATGACAGGTGAATTAGTTCTTTGAAATTATTTTTGTGTGATGTATAAAAGGGATTTAATCCCTGAGGCTCTTCATGTTTTAGACATTAAGTTCACAATTTCTTTATAATTTTTCTGTAGTTAGTATAACAAAATATCATATCATTTTCTGATATTCAGTATGGACCCTTCATTTTGTTTCAGGACAAGCTTTATCTTGATAAAAACATATGCTGTGTCAAGGTACTATTTTCTTCATAGTTTGTCATTATGAGCTGAAGATCGCATTTCCTCTCTTGTGTATTGTATATTATTGATCTTGAACACCTTGAAATCAATTTTACATTTTGGAACTTTCAATGGTTGGGAGGTATTTTACTATTTAGTTTAAGATTACTTTATGGGTTTGGATTGTCACAAAGTTTTTTGGTGTTTCTTTTTCAGTTCAAACAAGGTTTTGAAGAAGCAAGTCAATTTTTACTGCAGAGAAGTGACAAGTGATAGCCAGAGGACAACTTTTAACAATGTTTCCTCTTCTGCAGCACTTCTTTCCTTGAGGAAAAGTAGTACACAAAAAGTGATAACCTATTGTACAAGCCTGTAATGGTGAAATCAGAAATGCCAAGCAAAAAAACGTAAGTTTGATCAGGAAAAGACATTAAATACAACAACAAAAATTCTTGATGGATATCAGCAGTTAAGAGGAATAGCAAAGTGCCAGCTGGTCAGCTACTTAAAGGGGAGGGAAAACAATCCCTAAAAATATTGATTATTATTAGATAATTAACATAATTGGCACCAGAGGGAAAGGGGTACATTTCAGTCTTAAATACGTTAGAGCTGTATGTTTTATCCTGATGTGAGCATGAGGATGAGCTCTTCCAGAGCCTGTGAAATCAGGTAATGCAGGGAAAACTGGGGAAGGATGAACATAGTAACCACTTAGATTTCAAAAAAAGCAGAAGGAGTGACAGGGAGTTAGTATCATCAGCTTTATTTCATTCTCTAGAAGAGTGTCAACGCAACTCAGTGGTTTATAAGCACCCTGAGGGATAAAAAAATAAACCAGCTACAGTCAACATGAACTGGTGAAGAAGCTGAGCCAACCCAGTCTAATCTCCCTCCCTAACAGAGTAACAGGCTCTGTGGACTTAAGAGCAGTAGATCTCACACTTACATTTCAGTAAAGCTTTTACCATTATTTCCATGACATTTTCATAAGTAAACTGGAATGATAAGGTCTAGGCAAGAGTGTAAATCAATTGGTAAAAAATAGGGCGAAAACCATTCTGACACAGTCATGGCAGCAACTGCAGCAGAGTCAGTTCTGGCTTGGCTCTGGTTCCTTGCAGCATTTCAGTCAATGAGATGAGTGGTGGCACACCAACTTGAAAACTGGGCTTGATGACTTACTGAGGACCCTTCAAGAGGAGTTATCCTGAAATACTGCAAGCTTCTTGAGAGATACGACTGGATTTTAAAATGATTTGGACAAGTTCAAGTTATGGTTTAAAAGCAAATAATATCACTAAGTACTGATAAACAGAATATTCTATACTTAGAAATAATTCTTCAAATTTTAACATAATATTCAAATACAGGGAAGAGAAGCTAAGAGCAGCTTTACTGAAAAGGATGCAGGGGATTTCTGGGCCCAAACTGAATCCAAGTCATATAAACCAAACACTGATCTGGGACGCAGGGTACAATTTTAGTCTCTAGGGTATACAGACCAGTCCCACCTTTCTGCTCAGCCTCAAACTGAGATAATACATCCACTCTTGGGATCTGAAAATAGAAAGAATCTGAACTAACTGGAGGGAGTCCACAGAAGATAATTAGGAGTTTTGTAAACATGACCTATCAAGAAAAGCTGATTATCAGGATTATTTGAATTAAGCAATGGAAAAGCAAGAGAGAAAAATGAACAGCCTAGATATCTAATAGACTGCTGGAAAGAGTATAGGAAGAAGTTATTTTCCATGCCTGTGAAGAGTTGATAAGACTGAATGGGCTTAAACAGCAGCAAGGAAGATCTGGGTTAAACATTAGGATAAACCCTCTAATTAAGTGTAAGAACAGTGAAGTGCTGAAACAAACTGCCCATGAGTGAAGGCCGTGCAGGGTGTGTGAAGCAGATCTTCACCACCAGCACCACCCTCAGCAGTGAGAGACTACTGAGGAGCACCAGAGACAAACTGGCCTTTGGATTTCTGGCAATCCTATTTCTTAGATTCTAAATTATGTGAATAAAATCAGCCTTCTTTTTGCAGCAGACAAAATTCTGTAATGCTTAATCCTGGTTTAAATGTACTTCACAGCCCACTTTTCTAATGCTTTGCTCTGCTCCAGTTGTCCTTAATCTTTTTATTTTTGCAACCATGTCACAATCATCAGATGCCAGAGGGAAGAACCCCTTGTGACTGGCACCTCACATGTATTTCTTTCTATTCCTCACAAGAGTTATTTCATTTTCTGCCCAAGTTTCTCTAAGTCCTTTTTTATTAAGTATTGGAGTACCACTGGCACCATTGTACATATAATTCCTCTTTGCTGTCACTTCCACACTTCATAAAGGTCTTGACATTATTTCTCAAAAAATTTAGAAGATGCAAAATGGAGAAGGTACCTTCCCCAAATCCAGTAATACTCCTCAAATTCCCTTGAAACCCATGGTTATTTTCACTGCCCTTTCATTTGATTTTGAAGGAACTGAAATGACAAAAAAGATTTCCCCTCCAACTTAGATTAATTCATTCTAGGCAACATAGCATACTTATCTGAAATAGGTGACACGGAATGTATTTCTGAATTTCTTTTTGAGCTGTCCTGCACAACAAAGAACATAATTAAGACTTGTGTGGCTGTGCAAGCAAATAATTTTATAACCAGGAAACTAATGCTGTGAAATCCCTATTTTAGAAAATAGAAAAAAAGACTATTAATTTGAATAATGTTAATAACATAGTAACTTAAATTTTATAACCAGAGAAATACCCTCAAACATAGTTTTTAAGAAACTAGCCATGAATTTTTGTAATTTTATCCTATCAATTAGATATGGAACCTGTTTTTCCTCAAATATTTCAGTTTCTCTCTGAATTTAGAGCTACAAAAGATGTTCTTAATGCTTGAAATTCTGCAGATACTAAAAAATTAAAACAATTGGCAGGATCACTTGTTCCAAAAATGGAACTATGAATCTTTTTCTCTATGCTATCTCATCATCCATGCTTCTTTCCTGTGACAGACTAGGCTGACAATGAGTTGGATTGGATGATCTTAGAGATATTGTCAAACCTTAAAAATTCTATGATTTTATCTTTGTTGGCTCTGTTTTCCTAATATTCTGAGGACACTTTGGACTTGCTGAACTGTAAATGCTCACTTCTGGATGGAACTTGGGACAAAGGTCTGTTCTGACTCCTGCAGGTCAGCTCCTGTTCACCCTCATTAAAAAAACTGAGGCAGAGACTTTTTCACTCAATAATCTCAAGGAAGTTAAGGAACATGTGTTACTGCATTTCCACAGCTAGTTTCATTATTTTTTCCAAAGACTCCATCTTATTCCGCACAATGCTGAGGTAAATGAGTGAAGATCGAGGCACTGTGTACAATTCTCTCCACCATTGTCCAGATTTGCTCCTTTAAATGCCAGAAATATACACAGCAGTAGCAAAGATTCTGCACGGCAGATGTTGGGCTGAGAATTCTCAATCAAGGGGAATGGAAAAATGATTTGCTGAATGGATCAGTTGGAAATCAGAAGCAAATAAGTCTACAGCAAAGACCAATATTTAAAAAACTCCTCACATCTCCTCCTTTATATTGATAACAACAATAATTTATTTTCTCAATATAGCAATGATTTCTTATTAATGGAAGCCAACTGTCCAGTATAATCAGTGTATTTCCAAATTGTTTTTTTCTATGCAGGATATTAAACTATTTTCTGTCCTGCTGGTAGATGCATTAGGATCCCAGAGATATCTGAAGAAAGCTCTCAGTTTTTGTTGGAAAGACATGGAGATAAAACGGATGGATGAAATAAGCTCTACAAGATCAGGACAAAAGAAACAGAACAGAAAGTTGACCTGTACATAGAAACTCACATTTATCCAGTGTCATCAGTTTCCAAAAAGTACAACCCAGGTATTTTGCCCCCATGACTATATGAAACTGTTCATACCATCACTGATGGTGAATCAAGAGGCATCTCCCAAGCTCTGAGCATGAATCTTCAATACTTAAAAGCAATTCCTTGACATCTCACGGAGATACAAGCTTCTCTTATCATTGCCTCCTATGTATTTGCAGAGTGCCAATGTCCAGGTTCCTGAATTATCTCAATGAATGTGGCTTTATTTCTATGTCTAGCTCAGTTTCTATAAAAACCCAGCCGTGCAAATAATGTACTCTGCCTCCACAAGCAGTTACCAGAAGGTAACGTGTAGCTATCTACCTTAGCATGGAAAGCTGTCTCCAAGGTGGTGGTGCTCCAAGATATTTTAACTGAATAGGTTTAGATTAGATTTAGGTTGATTTAGATTAGATATTAACAAGAAATTTTATACTGTGAAGGTGGTGGGATATTGAAACAGATTGCCCAGAAAAGCTGTGGATGCCCTGTTCCTGGAAGTGTTCAAGGTCAGGCTGATGGAGTTATGTGCAACCTGGTCTAGGGAAAGGTGTCCCTGCCCATGGCAGGGAAGTTGGAACTAGATGGTCTTTAAGATTCCTTCCAACTGAAACTGTTCCATTCCATGCTTGAGGGTACTTCCACTGCAAGCCTGCCATTCAACAAAGGCCAGGCTTGGTAACAGCACACCCTCTGCACACCAAGCCGTGCTAATACCTTCATATTATATTCTGTGGAGCACCTCAATACAAAGAGCTTTGTTCTGCCGCTCTTCATCCACGAGTGACAAAGGAAACTGCGGGGTGGGGAAAAAAAAGCTGCGACTCTGGCCGGGGGAAGAATTTTTTCCAGTGTATCATTACTTCAATTCCAGACTGCACGACTCAGACAGTGCCAAGAGCAGGAAAGGATGATGTGAGCTTCAGGGCATAATTTCTACTGAAAGCCAAGTTCCAGGACTGGGAAGGACGAAGGAAGGTTTGTTTTCACTGCAGCTAAAGCTCTGCACGAAAGGAAGACGAACCCAGAAACGCCCAGAAACGCTCTGTATTCGTGGCAGGCTTTCTCCCTGCAAGAGGAGACAGGAATGCTCGCAGACCACAGCAGCCAATGTTTTCTCCTGATGCCATCTGCTGGCTGAACCGCCTGGGTAACGCTGGGCTCACCCTGGCAGAGACAGCGCACCGACATGAAAGCAATCACAAGGCTTCACTTCACAACATTTGCAGGGTCCTTAGAAAACCCCTCAGAAAAACCAGCAATAAAAATGCACAAAATTGTTTTACAGGTTTAAAATTAGGGAAAGGATGAAAGTTAATATTTAGCTAGTACAGTTTAAACAAAATTATTTACATTGCATTGCTTAGATGAAAAATAAAATAATTTAAAAAAAGCTGTTACTGCCTGCTTTGGCTCAGGCCTGTGCAAAAATAACTAATTCTAACCAGAACAAACTAAATGAAATTATCTGCATGACAGTAGATGTTGAGGGGGTTTGCTAGATGGGTATTGGATATGAAAAAAAGATCACTCAATTATAAATTACAGAGGTTGATATTGCCTTCTTTCTGCCTTTGGACAGATTTTGGCAGACAAGGCTGTCATCTGCTGCTAACAAGACCCTCAGATGGTATCGCATCTGAAATAATGACAGGAGGCTGGAAAAAAGATGGTGTTTAGGATATTTCTGAGCGAACTTGTGAAAAAGCTGTTTGTTGTTCATCCTGCAACATTTTGCACCCTCACCATCAGTACTCAAAGCTCTCTTTGCAGATTAACATGATAGAAATTGTGAGGTTTTTTACATTTTAATAGAATGGCTACTGAATTTGCATCTCAGAAAGGCCTTCCAGACCTGAAGAAACAACTGCTCTGAGGAATATAATTTGGACTGGTTGCATTTCATGCGCCATGGACATTTAATTTCTTCTGCTGTGGGAATGGGAAATCGGGGAAGTGCATGCTGGGATGGTTGCTGTTCTGAAGGATGTTCTGGATGGGGTTGCAGGCAGAGGCAAAGCACTAAAATACACCAAGCATAAACTGCCTGAAGTAATACAGTCACTTTCATCCACAAACAATTCTACTTAACTTAATATACAGCATCTAGTTTTATTTTACTAGTATAAGATGATTGATACTTGAATTACATCAGAAGTCATTCAAACTGTGCCTTACATCATTGTAACTGAAAAATCCTGTACAAAGGGCTGATTTCTCTTTCACATTTCTAGTCCATCAACCTGTACATACAACAGATGTGCACAGGGAGGATCTCCTGCCTAAGGCACTGAACATTAAATAAATAAACAAATTACAAATATTATTTTATCTCTTTATTTTTTTCCAGGATATTTTAATATTGAAGCCCAAGTTGTTATTTTCAAGGGACAGGGAATGGGGAAAGGAAAGGGAGAAAAGTAATGAAGACAAATTATTTTATTTAATTTATGGTTTTGTGAATGGTCATTTCTGTAGGCAACAAAAGGTTGTTTTCTTAAAAAAAATAATAAAACAAACAGCACCATTAAAGAAAGCATGATCCCTGAATTCTAAACAAAACACTGTCTTGAAACACAAAAAATTGCTAAAATGCTTGTTTCACCCAGTCACATCTGGTAGGGTAACAAAGCAAAGCATAACAGCATTAAACTGTAGCAATCTTGTTGAAACCAACTACACCCCCTTCTGAAAATTCAGAGAACCACTTTCTGAGCTTGTCCTGTGGGGATAACATTTTCTTTGGTAGAGGACTGAAGGAGGGTATTTACTTCACTGAATGCAAATAGAAAAAGTATCTATGCACGTTAGGGATCTCCCCAATAAATCTGTATTTCTCATGCATGTTAAGTACGAGTGGATTTCACACTGCTGTTATACTGCAGGAGTAATACTGCCCTATAAAGGCATAGAATGGCTAATGTTGAACAGATGTAAACATTCAGAATACTGACAAAAAAAATACATACACACAAAAAACCCTGTACTGAAAATCTGAACTGAGTTAAGTTTCCATAAAGCAGAAAAAATATTTTACAGCAGTACAAGAGAATTATGGCAACAAAGTAAAGCACTTTTCTGTAACATTCATGAACAGTACAAATACAACGAAGTTATTCTACGGACTAAATTATTCTTTAACTATCAAATATAGTACAAAGCGAAATATTATGTGCTATAAAAGAAGCAGCTCCTTAAATTAGACTAAAAAATGCTTTTTTTTCCTTTTTGTTGGTTTTACAGTGACAAAGCATGATGACCGAAGACAACAGGATTTCATAGATTCAGAAACATTTAGCTACACAGGTCCATGATAAAGCCACTGAACATTTCACTGCTTCCCTCCCAGTGCTCTGCAGAGCCATGGAAGATGAGCCGCTGCGCTGCTGCCAGGAGACTGCAGAAGTCATTCAGGGTTCAGAGCAGGGCCCTTCATGTGCGTCAGCTAAAATGATCCTTTTTGGTGACACTTCTCAGCTCATCTCGAGTGTTTAGTGTTTATCCTGGTACTTCACCACACCTTGGAGAAACTGCTAAACCAGAGGCTACAATAACGATTCTGAAATTGTGCGTGTGTTCATAAGGGGAAGGGGGTGCAGCATAAGGTAATTTTACTTCAGAAATTGCATTATAAAGCACCATATGCACCAGCTTAAAAACTGTGCAAGGAATTGCAGGGCCCTGAAAAATCATCTGCACGTTCTGTAGCTTACCCTGACAACATGCACCACCCTCAAGAAGAAAGTCTATATTACAGAGAACATACCTTTCGCTTTATGGCTCAACCTTTATTTTTGTCTTTTAAATGCTATTTCATGTACTAGATCTCAGCAGATAAATAAAATGCAAACAGGGAGCATCCAGTTCACCATTTCTTAATTATTTTTTTTAACATTTCAAAGGGAGTTTCTGCTTGGAAAATTATTTTGGAACAGAAACACATAAACACACTCACTGCAAATGCCCTAACGTTATCTGCATATCTCACAGGTATGCAATTAAAACAACAAAGAGGGAGGAAAGAAAAAAGTGTTTCTCCCTCTCACCCAAAAGTGCTGCTCCAGGGGTAGGAGTAGGGGGACAATTTCAGAGATTTAAAAAAAAAAGGTAAATTATACATGCTGGACATTGGGACACATACGTACGTACACACAAACACAGAGCAGTGTGTTCTTAAGTAATTCTTCCACCACTTTTCAGTGCATAAACTATTAACAACCCACGGTGCAAACAGCATGATCATTAGAAAATGATATTGAGCCTGAAATCTGAACAATCAAACAACAACAAAAAAAGGAGTAATTCAAAATTAACTTCTACGAGTGACTGTGCTCTTACCAAAGGCCTAGGGTCACTCTCCCCTAAGGATCTGTGTGATACCAAAATCCATGTAAGGTTTCCAGTCACCCTAGGATTCAATCAGGCTCTCACATCACCGTGGTTGCTTTTGAGTATTTTCATACCCTAAACCTAATCCGTAACAACACCTCACCACTGTTGCTAACTAATTGCTCAAATTTATTCTTGGCGCAACTCCAATGACTCCAAAATGAAAGGAGTGGAACTGCGCTATGGAAGAGTTTGGTCAGTTGTGTAATGTAACATAGCACCATCCAGTCTAATGCCATTTTAAATACATTTTATCATGACCTCACACATGCAGGTTGCAATCCTGATACAAAAATGACAACATGACATGAATGAGTGACCTACCACATTAGTCACACTCTTACTCTTCAAACAAAGGAAAACTATATTGTGGCCAGAATTTATTTCTGTATTATGTCAGTCAATACAAGAACAATTTCAAGATTTCAAGATGCAAGTACAAACAAATATTGACTTATGTGCTGTGGACAGGAAAACCTGAGCTAGAAATAAGGATTCCCAGCAGGCTTATATAAACATAGGTAAATAGAAGTCTAAGACTGGTTGCTCTCTTTTTTTTTTTTTTTTTTTTTTTTTTTTTTAAATAGAAGATCCTAGCTCTACCAAGTATAAATACAATGCAATACAATTCCAATACAAAGGCTCCTCAACTATGAATCGGATATACATTAACTGACTACACTCATGCTTACTCATGAGTATTGCCCAGTTGCTGTTTCACCAGCAGCTGGCATAGCAGTGGATGCCAATTTTCACTTGGTTACTTTTAGGTTTTTGCTTGGCTGGCTTATTTTCCTACCAGAAGACCTGAAAGTGCTGAGAAGCCGTTCCTTAGTTCACATGTCATATTAAGGAGCACTTTTGTATAGAAAAAAAAAATGTATTATTGTATCAGCAACAAATTTGTTAGTTATTACAAATGGCCTTTGTACCACACAGTGTCAAAAATAATATTGATATGTTGCTAATTACAATAAAAGAGAACATCAAGGTGCACCATAGAGCTTCCTATGACAGGAATGTATGTTGTAGATATTCCAGCTCACTTTTAAGACAACAAACGGCATTTATCATGTTTGTGAAAATGGTCCCACAAGAAAATAAATATGGTTCCTTCAGCAGAACCTCACTAATATGCCCCCGAGTCAGGGAGACCAGTTACAGCTGATGAAAAGCACACAAAGATCAGACAAAAAAAAAGTATGCTCTCAAATATAGCATACTTTTCATTTCCTAAATGTAGCTCTATCATTCTCATTCGTACTTCAGAATGCAACAGTTCACAGCATGATGAAACCAAGCAGTCTTACATCTCACACATTCTTACTACACTGCTCTCTTAAAACAGTGCAAGGAAAATCAGTTTTCTTGGGCAGACTGTAAGGTCTTTGGATTAGTGAGGTTCTACTGTGATGGTAAAAAAACCTGTTTCTCTTGATGCTGACATTTGGGCAGACCCAACCACATATCGGCAGATGGATGACTTGAACTCTACATGTTGTGTTCTTGAAGTGGGAGTATAGAAAAACCCATCATCTCCCCAGCAACTGCATGTGCTTTATCCCTTTATAATATTTTCCTTTTAGGTGAATAGGACCCCAAAATCACCGTATTTCTTTTCTGCTGTTATGGTGGCTAGCACATCTGGAATGCAGCTATAGTCCTGAATGTAAATACAGTACTGGATAACTACTGAAGGTTACTTTAAAGATGCAGTATCCCTTTAAAAAATACATTTTGCTTCCAAATTTCTAAAAGGGGTCTGACTTCCTTTGAGGAAAAAAAAAAGTTAGTCTTCTAAGTACTTCTAAATGGGAAAACTACTTTAAATGGCAAAACTCTCAGATGTTATTTAAATAAGAGTACCTCACATAAGAAAAGAAATTATATGCCAACATTCAACGAATATGCAATTAAAATGTTTCCTTATTCATTCATCAGAAGAATGCATAATTTCTAGGCCAAAGAAAGGCTACAACCTTGAGAACCAATGACCTATGTCTGACCTTATTTTTTATATATATTTGGGATTGACAAACCTAGTGGACAGATTAGAGAGAAAAATATGAATAAAGGCCATTTGAGCGAGAAACAGGAAAAGAGATTTCTAATCTCCAGCAGAGAAGCTACCTTCTCCTGACTCTACTGAAGCCAATGTGTTTCCAGTGTTGCTCCTGCCAACTCATCACCTATCCAAATCTTTCTCAAGGAATCAACAAAGATAATGAGTAAGATTTGAGTTCCACAGTCCCTGGCAGGCACATAAGGAAACTTCTCTAACCATCTAAATTCCTCTTTTAAATTTCTTTTGTTAGGTGAAGTGACTATATTTTAGCCCTAGACAGTGAAAGTCAATTGAAGAAAACAATCTTGTCAGTAGAAAGACTGCACACTGACTTAGAAGCTACAATGGTCAGCACACCACAACCTTGCCACTACCCCGCTCACACCAGTTGCTATTCAGTGTGTTATTCATTCTGCATAGTTACTCCACTTCTTACAGTGCTATTTTTCCACTGATCTTTAACCTGCAGCCTCGTATCAGCTATCAAGCAGTGGAGAAAAAATGTGCTGCACTTTGTGCAAATAAATAGAAGCTACGAATTACATGCATTAATGCATTTTTCTTTTTCTTTTTAGCACAGCAAGAGAGCTCATAGATGCTTCAGTAACAAGGCTATCTTTTTTAAAAACTACTTCTACAGGTCTCCTCTTCTTCCCAGAAAATGGCACCCAGGCAGAATAATTAAGTTCTGAAAGCACCACATAGGAGAAAAAAACAAAACAAAACAAACAGTTAAAAAAAAAAAATCATTCCACTAATTGCAACCATTAGTGGCCTAAACTGTTCCTATTTCTCTGTTCCTTTGTCCTGCTGTCCCATGTTTTTAAGGGATACTGCATCTTTGACTGAGCTCCTACCGCACCACCAGACAAGCTACACACAGTTTGGAAGGCCCTATGCAGTCATCATGACAGAAGGCTCCGCAGCCCTTGCACACGATCATGGCTTTCAGCCTGCAGGAGCATTTCAGTTCCAGCTCATCGGCATTGCTGCTGTCAGCAAATTTCTGAACCGGGATCTGCGTGTTCTGGTTAGACAGGCCTGTGGCAGTGTTTGAACCACTCCCTAAAATCCCAATCGATTTCTCAATTGCAGATGCTGCCCTTTTGAAACTTGTGCTACCAAAGTGTATTGTTGGATAATTTCCACAGAGCTGCTGCTGCTGTTGCTGCTGCTGCTGTGGGTGCTGCATCTGTATTTTCTGAGCAGCAAGTTGGGTAAAAGGCTTCTGTGGCTCAGAAAGTAAATAGGAAGAGAAATCTGCATTTTTTAATGCAAACGCTTTTAACTGTTCTTTCACTTCGTTCTGATCATAGGAAGCTTGTTTCATGCCCAGTTCGCAGCTGCTGCTTAAACCTTCCTCAAAAGAAATAGGTTCAGATTTTATATTGCTACAGATGCTTGCTGGCTGAGGCCAACTAAGTCTTTTAGTGGTTTCCATAGTAACTGTCGGTTGTTTTTGATCGGAGGGGACCTCTGCATTTGGGTGAGGAGGGGGAGGAGGTGGCAGGGGCGGAGGGGGAGCAGGGGGATGCGCTAATGTTTTACTCTGCAGAGTTTGAGAGGCACTGGCAATGTCATCACCTTCCTTAATTTGAATATTAGAGGAAAACACACTTCCTAGTCTCAGTTGGTGAGCTGCTGTAGAAATATTCATGTCTCCCAAACCCTTTTGTTCCAGGTGTCTGCTAAAAGCAAATGCGTTGCAGCCAGGTGGGCCTTTTGAAGTAGTTTGCAACAAAGCTGCCGTAGGAATGGGGCCTCTTGCAGCCATGGACATTTGGTAAAAATGCTGTCTATGTGAGGTACTGGCTTCTGCGTGAAAGCTGCCATTTTTGTCAATGTGAAATAAGCTCTGCTGGAAACTGCATGAAGGCAATGGTCTCTTCTGCTGCTTGATCTCTGGGCTGTGAGCGATCCGGCTCTGAATGGCGTGCTTATTAAGCCACTCCTGCTTAAATGGCTGTCCGTGCCCTAGTTGATTCATGCTGGAACTAATTACACAAGGAGCCACTTTAACATCTGTGTCCATTGACACCTTCCCAGGCTCACATTTAATTTGAGCATGTTCCCCTATAGTCCTGGCCATCCTCTTTTTCGGATGGTTTTCACGCTTTCTGATTTGTAGCGGGGCTATACTGCCTGCTGTAAATCCTTTACCATCTGGATTAGGAGAGTTGGAAGCATGTTCAACAATATTTCTCTCAGCCACTACTGTTTTACATACTGAGGTAGTTTGCAAAGGCAAGGGAAGCCTGTTAATTTCTAGTTTGGCTCCTGATCTGGGCTGCGGCAGCACTTTTTCTAAAGGCAGATTGCCTTGCAGTAACTGTGTCACTAAGGGATTGTTGGCCTCCACTGACGACAAGCGACAGCTAGAGCTCCCGGCACTCGTAACTCTCTTTAGGGTTTCCGTTGTCAGGGACAGGGAGTCTTCCATGGAGTCCGCAATGGATGTCTTGGAGGTCTGTGGTGGCTGCACACTCGTGGCTATTTCTGCAGTCTGGGCAGGCATTTCAGGTCCTGTAAAATCCTCGGTGTCCATCCTGAAGCACTTGTCAGTCTCATTAGTTTCCAGTTTAACAGGAACAGCAATGCTTGTCAAAAGACTCCTGGATTGCAGTTCTGACATTTGTGTGTAACTGGAAGGTTCGCTTTTGACATTTTTCAAGCAATTTTGCTCTGCGTACTCCTTATGCTTACCAGAGGTAAGATGGCTGACCACTGGCTGGTCTGTATTCATTGCCTCCTCATCACGCCAACAAATTCTATTGTTAGTGTTGTACTGATTGGCACAGGCAGCATTGGCTTCATTTTTCAGTGCTGAAGGACCTCTTAGTTGCTCAGCAAAGCCTTGGCTGGTAGTAACCACCTCAATTAATTTATCTTGAGGAGCAAGAGGCACTTCTCGAAGACTTGAACAACCTGCCTGCAAGTTTTTGCTGTCTTGCTTTGCTGTAATGGCAATAAAGCTGGAACTGTGTTCAAGGTTTTCATTAGCAACCACTTCAGGCCTGCTTATGACAGACACCTGAGGACAAGCTATACTTTGTAAGGCAGCTTCTGTCCTTACAGGTCTGCTCTGCAGGTCAATGCTGTTCTCTACGTTTTCAATAGAGGAAGAAAGTGACAGACTGGAATTCTGGTTTGTTGTGTGGTCAACAATGACTTTACAAGGTATAGACCTATTCATGGCAGTTTGCGGAAAGCTCAGTGGATGAGATTTACCAGAGAGATCCATCCGGTTTCGTGCTCCAGAGCTTTTTTCTAAGAGATCAGCATTCAATTTAGTAGCATTATCGTAAGAGCTTATTGTCACCATGTTACCAGTAAACATTGAGATAGGTGGCCTTGCAACAGAATCTGCTGCTGCAAGGGCCTCACTGCAACTTAAAGCTGACCTGACGGTAGTGTGGATGGAGACAGTGCTCTGCTCGCTACACCCAGTTATGGCTATTTTATCAGAAGGAAATCTGTTGGTAGTCCCCACTGGGGGAATCAGTACAGAACTACCAGAGAGATGATTTGGCAAGTTACTGGCAATAGATGAAGCTGGCACAGTGGCATAATGACCGGAGACTGTGTTATTCACATTGCTACTGGGCACTGGCAACCTTTTGTCATCGATGGCGTTTGATAAGACTGTGTTGTCTATGGAGACTGGTACATTACTGTTATCAATACATTTTGGTCCAACAGTTATGCATGGAGTATCAGCCCCTTGGATGGTTTTCAGCATATTTATATTACAGGCTGAAATTGCTGTGTTTGCGCTGTCAACAGACATTAACACAGAGGATTTATCAACAGAACTTGCAAAAGAAAGTTCTTTAATTGCTCCAGACATAGCAGTGCTGCAAACACACACAGAGACTGAACTTTTATTATAAAGCACTGGCACACTGTTACTTTCAGTAGAGGTAGATGAAATAATTTTCTCACACAATTGTGGCACAGGTATATTTTCATCAGAACTGTGCACAGGTATCTCAGTAGCAGTTTCTGGTAATGTAGCTGTGTTAAGGGACTGCTGCAATAAAGTGGTGGTCTCACGGTGATGAGAAGACTTGTTGCTAGGGGACCTGCAGTTAGGATTAACTATAATGACACCAGTAGAACCTTCAATCTTTGTGTCAGTAGTCGTTGGTATCTCCAGAGATGAGGTACTACTTTCCTTTGAGCTGAACTGTGACTTAGATTCTTTATTAGTCTGGAGTAAATGAGCTCTGGCTTGATGCTTTGCAAATAGCTTGGCCTTTGTTTGCTCCTTGATGTGTGCCAGTGTTCTTGTCTTTCCACCTTCGCATGGGGTCCCCATTGCACCAGAGACTATGCTGGCAGCTGCTGCCACGGCTGCTGCAGCTGCAGCTTCTCTTTGGGCTCTTGCTTGCTGAGCTCTTGCTTTGATATCTGCCAGAGTTCTAGCCCCAGTGTTTCTCCCACTGCTGGCTGATGTACTTGAGGAAACTCGAGGTTCTGGTTTAGAAACAGGCTGGCTCTTGATGATAAAAGGTGGTCCAATTTTTGAAAGCTGAATCTAAAGGAAAAAAAAAAAAAAAGAAAAAAGCCCAGTAAATTTTAAAGATATCATCAACTCACGGAAATAACCAGCTCTCTCTTTAAGGGTCACAGAAAGGTAATTAAAATAATTACTCTTCAGTGCAGGTGGACAAAAACCTGCCAAAACTTAATGATATTTATGCTTCAATATTTTATCATCCTCCAGCATGAATAGGACACCTGTATTAGCCTACTCACACTGATCCTTTTGACAGGAAGAAAGATTGAACTGGATAACAACATGATGCTTATCAGATACAATTTGTCAGACCTGTTTTATATTCAGTCCATCTACCTGGGATGATCAGCAAGCATCATGCAGTGATACTGGACAAGAGCCTGCAAAGAACTCCTTTCTGCAAACATGTGAAAAAGTAACGATCTAGTAACGCCTTTCTCCTTGGTCACCAGTGTTTAAACCTGTGTTTTGCTTATAAACCACACAACAAATCTTGCCATTAGACAGGAGTGGTATCTCCACTGAGCCCGTTTTCCAATCTCCAAGATGCAGGATTTATGAGGTGCAGAAGAAGTGAGTCATTAAAGGATATGCCTTTTCTTTCCTCACTTGCATTTTTAAGAGACTTGCTTTAGTACATTCCTGGACAGCTCTTACATTACTGCACTTCAAAAATTAAAAGACTATAAATAGTAAACCCACAAATATTAAAAATTTAAATACCAAGCACTTTAAGCAAAATAATAATCTGTAAAATCACTGGAATTATTAGGATGTTTCAAATTAGGCATACAGTTTTTCAGGATTAAGAATCTTGGAACCACTTTATAACTCATACAATCAGGATACCTCAAGGTTGGCAAAAAAAAAAAAGTTCAATTTCTTAAAATGGACATATGTCTACTGGCTGTCTCTTGCAATAGGACTTAGTGGTTAATGCTATGACTTATCTTCTGAAAGGAACTCAGAAGAAAACTAGGTAGTATTTGTAGAAAAAATAGTCATAAGATATGATGGGAAGTGACAGCCACACAACAGAATGACTTAGAAGAACTGGGGTTCTTTTTTCCTCCTTTACGTACAAATGATAGGGGTTTGTTGGTGAGAGGATACAAGAGCCAAATTTTTTTTACACGAAATGCAATTGACTGTTCACTATTCTTCAAAACATTTGGCTTTTGGTTTCAGCAGCAATTCTTTTCAATTTCCACTTTGCATGACCAGAACTCCTAGAGCTCTAAGTGCTTGGTTATTTTTATTATTATTATTATTATAGTAATGACCTTTTTTTATTCCCTAGTGATCTATTTCCTTTATGCTTAGAGAGTTATTAGAATTTATTAGGCTAGATAGAACCTTCCAAATATGAAAGAATATCACTAAACTCAGAACAGGGCTAACTTCCAATTGCATCACTGCTCTTAAAAATAAATTAGCTGAAATATGCTTCTGCACTAGTGATTAAAGCCTATTAGTCTATTTGCCCTCCCGGCCATATTAACAATGTTCAGTGACTGCAGAAGTTAAAAATAAATGCAGAAAAGGGCATTTCTGAATAATCAAGAACTAGTACTGCAAAGCCAATGACTTAAATACAGTAAATTGGATCTTAAACTTGGCTGAAGTCATCAAGTACAAAATGAAAAGGTTCAAAACACTGAGCCTATATATAACTGAATCTACAGAACTCTCTGTTATGAAAAAACCCTTTTCAACTGAAATATACTTTCTTATACAGCAGAATAATACACATGTAAGTGTTTGCTTAGATGGTGTATTTTTTTGCCTTTTGCTTTGCCATTAACAAAGCTATCTATACATACATAAATCAGATCCTCCCCCCTGATAAGTCTGTTTCCAGTTAATTCTACAGGGAAATCTTATATTTCAGCCTACCCCAAGCCTTAGGCTTGCAAAAGGATCTTCAACTATTCTGACTCTTGGTTCTCTTGCTGGATTAAAGTGCTGGTTGTTTTTCTAAGTACTGGTTATGATAACCCTTATTAGTCATGCTTGCTGGAGAAGACATCCACAGAAGAACAAGCACAAAATACAGACAGGCAATTAGAAAAACAAGTGCTGCATGTGACTGATGGGGAAAATGTTGAATTCAATTAAGCCATGGATATGGAGAGCTCGCCCACAAACAAAATCAATTTTTTAGCAAAGACCTCTACTGAACAACTGTAGATATATCTGTATCAGAAGCAATTTGTCATGGTGGAAACATAATAGTAAAGCAAAACCAGCAGTACTAACAACTCTTATACATCCCCAAAAACATATCATGTACTGTGCCTGTATGCAGTTCATAGATGGACATAATAAACATTTTGTTTCCAAGCCACCCTATTTATTCATTACCTTAAGGGGTGGAACTCGGGGTTCCTCTCTGGGTGGCTGTTCTTTATCAGATGGACTTGTTGATGAAGCACTACGAATAGGCAGATCATCATCTATTCTAGCTCTCTTCTCTTTACAGATTCCAAAACTGTGCTGTTCTGCTGTTTTCCTCTTTGGGATCTCTGGGTCTCTACTTTCATTTCTTGCTTCTGGTGATTTTGTGGGTTCTAAAGACTTGGAAGAATGTGAACTCTCTAAACGACTTTGGGTGATGCCTGTTAGCTTGTGAGATTTACTTCTGCACACTTCAGAAAACGTAGCTTTCTCTAGAGATGAGGTATATAGTTTATCATGTGGCTTTGATGGAAGCAATTCGTTATTTTTGCCAAGTGATCCTTCTGATAAGACAGACACCTCTGAAGGCAAGAGTGTACCTTTCTTGTCACTTCTTTGCTGAACACTGTGATTTTTATTTTTGATCACCTCTGGAGGAGTGTGTTCTGGGATGGAAGCAATGTAAGATTTCTCAATTTCAGAATGTGACTTACATGGCTGATGACTGAGGTTTTTGCTTTGGGACTCTTCCAATACTGAAGTATCAGGTATAATTGTTAGTGGACCAACTTTCATATTTTCAGAGGCACTCTGAAGTTGTTTGGGCTGAACAAGATTCTCTTCTTGAACCACATTAGGAATGACAGAGCTTTTTTCTTTCAGAGTGGGAAGGGAGTCTTCCAACAAACATGGAGATTTCCTTTGTTGTAGAGTAAGTCTTTCACTGCTTGGGGAATTAGAAACTGGAGATATATCTGATGGAAGAGGCAAACTATTTGTCACAAATGTTTCAGAAGTTAGAAGAACAGAAGATACTGAAGATGTTTCTGATGTTAAAGGCAAATCAGACATTGGAGATGTTTCTGATGTTAAAGGCAAATTAGAAGCTGGTGATGCCTCTGATGTTAAAGGTAAATTTGACATCAAAGATGCTTCTGAGGTTACAGGTGAGGTGGACATTGGAGACATTTCTGACATTAAGGGTGCGTGCAAGTTTTCATCATTGGCCTTTTGCTGAATATCACCTTCAATATTTTCAGAACTGGACACTTCAGATGAGCAAGCTGTTTCAAGAGATACTGGAGTACAGGCTTCCTCTGAAGTCGATTGAGTGTCTCCTCCAGGAGAGGCAATACAAACTTCTGGACTTCCAGAGGAAAAGGAAGTTTCAGAAATACATGCATTCTCAGACAACTGTTCCTCAGGGTCGCTATGAAGCTCCATATCCACTGCAATGCCTTCACCAGTGAACAAGGAGCCTCCCAGAGCAGTACTTTGCATTTCTGGCACAATTAGCTCTTTTGCAGACTCAGAATCCTTCTCAACTGTACCTATGACAGAGTTTGTGGAAGAAGCTGATCGTGCTGGTGATATGCAATCCTCCAGCTGGTCTATCACAACTGACATCTCCTCCTGAGGGCATTCTGACTTCAACTCTACTTTAATTTCAATGCGAGATTCAGTATCAGTTACATCATTCATCATGACACAGGACTCAGTGCTGTCTGCAAGCTGTACTGCCTCTGTTTCCTCATTTGTGTCAGCTGGACTTACAGACTCCTGAGAAAACTCCTGTTCTGGCTTATGGTTCTCCTCTTGGCATTCACAAATACCTGTCTCGACCTCTTCAGCAATTTCCTCCTGAATGACTGATTCTTCAGGTATCAGTATATCTTCAGAATCTGCTGTTAGATCCTTGACAGGAACCTGTTCCATTTTACAATGAGATGGGCTATAATCTCTCTCTGGTAAAGGTGGAACTTTAGCACCTTTCTCCTCTTGATCCTCAAAGGTTGCTTGCTTAGTAGGACCAGGTGTGCCAGAAGATCCACACAAAGAATTGCTTTCAGCTTCATCATTGTTCTGCACTGCAGTGAGCTTCGTTGATTCTACTCTTGACATTCCCAACCTAGAAAAACAGAAAAACAGAAATTAAAATAGAGATTTCCATCACATTAAGGATAAGGGAATAGACTAACCTTTCTCACTCATCTTTTTTATTTCCAAAAAATACATATTTTCAAGTTTAAAATATTGGCTTGCTTAAGTGGTGGCTAACTAATTTATATACAGTTTTATGTATTTTGGAAACCTATCTGCTGAGATTTACTTACAAGTGTTAAAAACCATGAAAATTTTTAATATAAGTAATTGCTCTGTCTACATTCCTGTTTCTTTTTGGTTTGTTTGTTTGGGTTTTTGTTTTGTTTTTAAATACCAGCACAATATTGCAACATTGGTACAGAATCCATTGCAGAATAAATGCACAACTGCATCATCCTCTAGTGGGAACAGTTATAAAGGAAATCCCTTTCTCCCTCCTTCATCTGCTTTTAAGAGTCAACACAGCCAGCAATATGAAAGAAGTTAACATTCTTAAGGAGATAAAAGATACACATTTACAATCTATGTGTTCATTCTCAGGGATGAAGTGCAAAGGAGCCATGTATACTATTCATGCTTCTGAAGATTTTCTTACCTTTGATCCTGAAAATACTAGTTTAAATAGAGTTTTATTACTTCAGCAGAATTAAAAAATCCACAAAAAACCCAAAAGAAAACTAAGCCAAGAGATGAAAAAAAAGAGGTTGTTTTAAAAAATGTATGTGCTCTGACATCCTCATTTTCTTCTAAGGCCAGTGGGAGTACAGACATTCAGCATCTTTAGTAAGATTTTCCAAGCAGACTTTATGCCTCAGCAATTCCATAATAGTAGAAAATACACAAAAGCTTAGTGGGAGGCCTAAAAGAAATTTCATGGTCTTAAGGATCTTCTAATCTACTAAACAGATCTCTGTTATCATTTAATCAGAAAATAAAGAATAAAATGGAAACAAGCAAGCATAAAAGATATTCAGAAGCTATGGAAGCAAAATTGCTTGTCAGTGTGTAGCCAGAGGACAGAGATACAAAGGCCTATTCAGATGAAAGTACAGACCACGTAAAAAAAACAAAATCTGTGGCTGTGCATTTTAAAAACACTGAGCAGATGTATTACAGTGAAAGCTGTAAACACAAAAAAAAAAACCCCAAACCAACCCAGCCTGGAACTGGCATCCCAAAAAGCTCACTTAATTATTAGCATTGCCTACTACTACACACTAATAATGAACAAAGTCTCCCTCTGCCATCAATACGCTGAGGAAGGATCCTCTAGAGAGCAATTCAGAGCAGCAAATTCACAATTCCCACACTGAATGCATTTCAGATGTGTCTTTCTTCTGTATAGAGTATAAGTTCCCAATATGGTCTAAGTTCAGGTTGTAAGTTTAGGTGAGTAAAGTTTAGTTTACCAGGGTTTTCAGAGTAACTTCCTGTAAAATTCCTTGTGTTAAGGAGCCAAAGTTATCTCAGGAAAATGAGAAAGGAAAACAAATCCACTCCATTACTGAAAACTGAATCAATGGTCTATTTTCTCTAGCTGGGTACATCATGAAAAGATACTGCTTGATGGTTATCTTCATGGATTGAAAATCAGCAAAGGAAGGAAGGACAGGATAAAGTTGAACGAAACTGTCACATGGACACTACACAAATACACGCATTCTAGTACCATATTGCAGATAAAGAACTGCAAGGGAAATAAGATAAAGCAGATAAGGGCCAGCAGAACACGTACTGAATCGTAATAATTTTTTTTCAATATTGGAAATACTACTATGTTGAAGAAGAAACTGAAGAAAAGGGCTTTCTAAAGAAGAAGGCTCAAGATCAGTATGTTTAAGGCAATCTCAGATTGCAAAATAAACAGCTGATCTGTCTTCTCCCTTAGAGAAAAGGACACTCAAAGTTTGCAAAACAGCACAAAAATATGAGTGCAGCAGCAAGCACATTTCAATGAAAGTATTAAGGACAGAATTCAACTGGTAGAACAAGGACACAGTCATCCAGTAAATAAACCCAAAAAGCTACTCAAGGATATATGAATGCTGATATTCTAGTGCTGTGATAAATAGTACTCGGGGGAAAAAGAACCAAAGTAAGGAAAGGATTATATCAGCAATAAAATTTGGAGGTCTACCCAAAATTAAAGCTCTGATCTAGCCGATAGTACTATCTTGACATGTAACTCTCGAAAGTGAGAAAAGAGATAATATATTGCCATAATAGAGTATAACCCTTGAAATCTTGGGGCAACAAGCCAGAAGAATGTGGATTTCTATCAACATTCATCAGCTGATCAAATAAATTACTGCAGAATAAGATTTTGTATTTTGAAAAAATTCAGAGAGAGGAAAAATGAACAAATATGAGGAAATAGAAAAAGAACAAAAATGGATGGAAGTAAAATGTAACTGACAGTGCCATGATAAACAACCTGGGTACAGAAAAAAGCAAATACGAGATGCAATGCTTAGAGCTAACAGGGAAAAAGCACTCTAAAGTCTTTGATTGCCATCAGCTGTGGAATGTATAAAAATGCTTACAGAGATTCTGCATCTATTAATGGTCCTTCCCTAAGCAGAAGGTGAAACTTGAATTTACTTATGGAATATTAGAAGATCAAATTTACTTAAGTCAGCACAAAAATACTACTCTGTGCAGTGAGCAAGTTAGCCTGCAAGACAGATTCATTTTGCAGACAGCGCATGTGAGAAACAGCTCAGGAAAGCTTACAAATACGTCTAGTTCAGTCAAATCAACATAGCTGAAAAGTGACACAGCCCAATCATATTGAAAGCTATTTTAAAAACCAAAGTGAAAAAAGGTAAGAGAATCTCAGAGTCACAGCATATCCTGAGTTGAAAAGGATCCACAAGATCCACTGAGTCCAGCTCTTGCCCCTGCACAGGACTGCCCCATGAAGCAACACAAGGTGGAAGCTACAGCAAATGCTACCATTCAATGAGTAAACAATGAGGAAAAGTCAGCGAAGTACCTCTGCCTACATAACAGCCAAGGAGAAGAAAGCAAGTGAAACAATGCAAGCAGGGGAAAGGGCAGGGAGAACCAGATTCAATACTTCAGTCAAACTGGAAGTGATGTGGAATATGACATTTTGCATAACAATGTTGATGTCAGAAACCTATGAAACCAAATGACATGTATCATCACAGAGTGAGCAATTATCTGCCAAGCACCGTGGTATCCAGCATTCAGTCAGCACAGCAGGACTGCTGTCTCTGCAGAATTATGAGCATCATTTTGTGACAGTCATTTTTGACTGAGGAACTCCTGCATTGCTGGTAATAAACTTCTAATTCTTGTGGAAGGCCCTATACCAGTAACTGACACAGCCCTTTCCTCCATGAAAGGTTAGTCACGGACTCTTCTCTTGACATGTGTAATGAAAAGCCACTATGTTCTTTATCTGAGAACCTAAATAGTATTTTTTGATACTAAAGGATCAACACCTGGACTAAACTGAAGTCTGTTTACTAAGCTGTTTACTAAGAAATTAAACATTTTAGAATAAAATGACATTAAGACATTAGAATAAAACGACACATTAAGAGCCTAGTATTTCCATTATATGTGAAGGTAAGGTGCTGTAGAAAAAATACACTGGGAGGAAAGCACCTAGTAAGGGTGCACGAAATAAAATACTAAAATGGATCTGTCCATTTCTTGCCTCATTTTCACTACATTCCCCAGCAGCCCAAGACAGGGGATTGTAGGAAGTAGTACTGTTACTGCAGGAAACATTTCAGTTAATCTTTAAGATAATATGTTATATGAAGGGTTCCCCGCATATAACTCTGTGCCCTGGATTTCTTAAGTGAAAAAAATCTGACAGCAAAACTAAGACGACTTATGCAATGATGGTTCCCATTGAACAGTTTTTCTGCTAAGTATTATGCATACATTTGACGGAGTAGACAGTGAGATAGATTGAGAACTGACTAAATGGCAGATCCCAGTGGGTTGTAATCAGTGGCACAGGGTCTATTTGGAGGCCCTGTCACTAGTGGTGTCCCCCAGGGTTCAATACGGGGCCCAATACAGTTTAACTTACTCATCAATGACTTGGGTGAAGGGGTAGATGCCTTCTCAGCAAGTTCACTGACAACACAAAGCTGGGACAAGTGGTCAATATGCCAGAGCCTGTGCAACCCTTCAGAAGGACCCTAACAGGTGGGAGAGATGGGCAGAGAAGGGTCTGAAATTCAGCAAAGGCAAGTGCAGGGTCCTGCACCTGGGAAGGAATAACCCTGGCACCAGCACAGGCTGGGGACTGACCTAATGGGAAGCAGCTCTGAAGAGAAGGACACACGGTTCTGGTGGACAACGAGCTATCCATGAGCCAGCAGTGCTCTTGGTGCCAAGATGGCCAGTGGTATCCTGGAAGCATTAGGAAGAGCATTCCAGCAGGTTGGGGGAGGTGCTCCTGCCTCTCTGCTGTGCCCTGGTGAGGCCACAGGTGGAGTGCTGTGTACAGTTCTGGCTCCTTTGGTACAAGTGAGACATGGAGTTTCTAGAGATGCTCCAGTGGAGGGCAACAAAGATGACTGAGGGCCTGGAGCATCTCTCATAGGACGACAGGCTGAGGGAGCTGGGCCTTTTCAGCCTTGAGAAGAGGCAACTGAAAGGAGACCTTGTCAATTTCTTTAAGTGCCTAAAGGGAAAATGTCAAAAGGATGGGTCCAGGATCTTCTTGGTTGTGCCAGGAAATAGGACAAGAGGCAATGGGCAGAACCTGAGGCACAGGAAATTCCACCTGAATGTGAGGAATAACTTCACTATTCACTCAGTCACTGCAGTGATTGAGTACTGGAATGGATTGCCCACAGAGAGTATCCCTCACTGGAAAACTGCCTGAATGCAATCCTGTGCCATGTGATCAAGGATGACTCTGTTTGAGCAGGAAGTTTGGACCAGATGAGCGACTGTGGTCCCTTCCAACCTTACCATTCTGTGGTTCTGGGATATAATTTAAAAATACTTTAAAATAAAAAGAAAAAATCAGTAATTGCTAAAAAGCCAGTTCATACTTTATAAAAAATTCTTAGTATTTTTAAAAACAGAAATATAATTCTAAGTGTTGATGAACTGGCTTTTAAAAATAATTTCTAAAAGGAAAATTCTTGGATTTTAAGATGTCAATCTCCTTAAATTTTGTTTTTTAAAAGAAATGAAGATAAACACTGAATCTTCAGCTGCTGAAGAATGCTATCTCTGTATTATCATCATCAATGAAATTGTGCTGACTCACCCTAGTTGTGCACCTAGAGTGATACTATATTTAATTTTAGTCAGTTAAAGGTATTTATTTATTCTTTGCATCTCACTTCTAAAATTAAATTAGTCATTGTCCCTTTCATTTGTATCTAGCTAACATTTTTTCTATGTCATATATTCTTCTTGGCCAATGGGCCATCTCAGTCAAAAGATCAAAAACTCTGTTTGTTTTTATTAACTTTGCAACTAGCTTAGAAAAAATGAAAAAAATTGAAACATATTACAAAAATATTCCTACTGGTCTTCTCATTTGTAGAAGCTGTATTTATATTTTGCAGGAGGGAGGAATTGCTGTAATGCTATCATTTAAAATATAATTAAAAAATATTCATATGCTTGTGTCTTAAGCTCTCTTTGGAATGAATTTTTATGGATGAGCTATGACTCTTTAAAAATGCATTTGTAATGCAAGTGCAGACACACGACTATAATTCTACAACTTCTTATATTGGGGAATGACTGCTCTTGGTAACTGCTTTATTAAGTTTTACAGCATATGAACATGCTATGTGAAGCATAGAATTATATTTTAATTTCCTCCTAAAAGAAAATAAAAAAAATCCTTTTATTTGCTTCAGTACTTACTTTTCACCATAAAACCTTTCAAAGAATTTTTCTTTCCAAGGTTCTGTTTTCTTTTCCTTTTCAATCTCTTGTCTGATGCGCAACTGCATTTCTGGTGTAAATTCTCCTAAAAAACAAATACTAACATATTGAATAAAAGTTGTCAAGGATTAATTTAATAGGTAATTATAAATTGTGAATACAATGATGATATACAGTGATTTCTGATACAATCATCCAACAATGCCAAATGAAATTAATGAAAACCAAAACGGAGAGTGACATAGAAAGATTTAATTTACCATATACCATCAGTATTTCAAAGGTATATTGTCAGGGTTTAGTTGCATGCATTCATGTTTCCAAGGCTGACAGTGATGAAAATACTTGGGTTTTTTTTAACTGTCAAAATAAGCTGCCACAGCAAGCTCCAAAAATGTCCTCTAAATTCAAAATGGAATCAGCAATTTCTCTTTTGCTGAATTACTGGTCTATTACAGTTTCTATTCCAAATGTATTTCTCAAATGTAGAAAAAGAGACGCTCTTCATAAAAACAATTAACCTTGGTCAGACCTGAGAGCATGCAGTTACCTTCTGCCAGTCGCTGTTTCCACCCTTGCGCTGCATATGCGAAGAACTCGTTATTTAGAGCAGAGCTACTGAGGCGCAAAACTCCATCGCTCCCCATCTAGAAAATAAGCCGATGGTAGCAGAAGACAGTGTCAGAAACAGCGTCAGCTAAGATCACATCAAAACAGAGTTTCAATTAGGAGAAATGGAGGAAGTGTAGGCAGTGGGAAGAATACAAAATGACTACTACTAAAACAGCATTTTCATGCTAGTCGTTACTCTAAATGGAAGTGAACTAACCCAGCATCAATGTGCTCTCTTCAGTCATAAGTGTTACTGATGATAACTCAGTTTACAACTGATTGATTTGCTTTAATCACAGCTCTGTCTTGAGACTATGTCTAGAGGCATTGTACGCAATCAAAAATCAGGATCATTATTGTACTTGTGCATCTGCCTGTAATATGGTACAAAAGAAATTAATTAAATGCAATGAAGACAGTAACTTTGGTGTTTCTAAATAAACCTAATACTCATGTTAGCTAATAAGCTGTATTGGCCAGAGTGGATGGCAGGCATATCTTAACAAAAGAACTGATGTAAACTCATCACTGAAACTGAAAACAGCTCTACATGTAATTTTATAGGCATCAAAAGTTAAATCTGTGGAAGAACATTAGAATTATTTGTATTTTCTACATTTGTCAAATATTCAATGATAAGACAACATTAAAAGTCTTTATCACAGTATTTTCTACAATAATTTTTAAAAGCAATCCAACTATTGAGCTGTCTTTTACCACAAAACTTAATGTATATTTTCAGGCCTGTGAGGATATTTCTGCTTCTGAAAGAATTCTAATAATTGAAAAAGGTAATTGTATGAAATAAATTAGCAATTAATATTACTTCTAGCATAATAAATAGAAAGTAAAAAAACAAACAAACAAACAAACAGAAAAAAAAAAAAACAGAGGAAAGAGCAGGAGAAGTAATATTGCTAGAACAAACACTCTCACTATTTTACATCCTTCCAGGTAAGTAAGAGATAAATGTTTGACAACACTGTTTGTAATCTAGCAGTAAAATCCAGCACATTTTCCAGCATATTAACAGATCTTTTAGCTAAGTAATATCCCCTAGTTCTCAGTGCCTGCTTCTAACAAGAGCCAGAAAGACACAGGCATGTCAGAAACATTGAATGATATTTCAGTGTAGTTAACTCATAGAGCTCTGTATTTCACTGATAAACAGGCCCTATTTTGAGAAGTCTTCGTTAATTTACTCGTTGCCTAGTTGACATCCTGTCCTACAATTATCTCAGAGGAGTAAACCTGAAGGAAAGATGTGAAGGAGTAACCAGAGAAATAGCAATTAGCACGGACTCTGAAAAACAGGCATTGCTAAAGGCATTTGATTACAGTAATAAAATATGTGCATGGTACAGAGTTCCTCAGCATGATATGAACCTATAGAACAGCTGCCTGTGCTTTCCTACTACATGGCATTGTTTTGCCAACATGTCATAGAAGTTGGGTTTAAGTGGGTTGGATATGTAATATTTCTATATATCTCATGATGTGGGATATGGAACACATGCATATTAATTACAGGTAGGCTATGACTAATGCTGCACCTAGAGGGAAACTGGAAAGAAACAGTGAAACATGCAGCAGAAGCAGCAAGATAATAAAACCAGTGCGGTGAGAAAGGTGATAAAGAACATGTACTTATTGTATAAATCAAACTACTATGACACATTATCTTCCTCCTGCACAAATGAATTTTGCCAGAAATACTTAAATTGCACAATTAATACATTAAAGAGGGATTTAAAAATACAAGTCCCTCTTGCACCTGAACAAACAAACCAGTATATGGTCAAAACCAACAGAATTACACCATTTTCTAGAAAGGCCAGATGCAAAGTCACAAAGAAAAGAATCACAACTTATTAAACAAACAACTCCTTGTTCCTCTAAGAAAGGTGTTGAAGCTACCTTAAGTTTCAACATAAAAGGAGATGAAATGGAAACACTCACTTGCCAACATATGTTCTACTCCAATCTGCATTAAAGATTTTTTCTCTAAGCCTGGCAATATTTTGCAAAAAAATAGTCATAGAGATGTTAAATTCTAATAATATTTAACCACATTTAACTGCAGGCTGTGTCTCAAAGGTACGGACCTCCTGAAACTCCATGGCTCAGCTGATGACTAACAGTGTAGCCATATCACCAACCAGATCAAAAGATCTCATAGGAAAGTAATGATTTAAAGTGGACAATAACTTTCTGTTAAATAAGCAAAATTATCCAACTTATTCAAAGGTCACAACTCTATTAGATTCCATGCAAAGCTGGAATGTACCACAATAGGTGGAAAGAGATTGCCACTTGTCGTCAGCAGCAATCCACTATCAGGTTGCATTAAACATAATTTGAAACTGCAGCCAAGTGTGATTGAGCTATTTCACCAGACTGCAGAAATGAAGAGCATTATACAGACTGCCAAATTATATTACCATGTCAATACAAGAAGAACAGTATTAGCTTCATTGTAACCCTGTTGTTGTTAGGACAGGAGAAAATCAAGCTTTGCAGGAAGAGTTACCCCACCTTTTATTTTTGTTGGCTAATATACTTTAGAAAAAAATGCCAAGTTTCTGGGTGCAGTTTTCTTAACAAAGTTTCAAAAAGAAACTGTGAACCCCAAGGTAAATGCTAGGAAAAGGTCCAAACAAATTCAAATGTGACCTAGTTCACCTGAACAAAAAGCACAGGCTGGAACTTCAGAAAAGAAAGCAAGTGTTAGCAAGGTCATGGTGAAGATCATTAGTTCTTGTGGACCAGAAAAAAATGCCAAGTAGTAAGTATCTGCAAAAGAAAAAAAAAGGAAGGGGAAACAAACTCCCAAAAGAATAGCAAAAAGGGAGAATTATATTGGTTAACTAAGAAGAAAAAATATTATAGGTCAACTAACAATGGAAAAACAGCCCATTTGAGATCTGTATCAAAAAACAGATGCATACTTCACTGACCAGTTTAGGTGTGAACTGCAGCAGCTTACAAATACTGGGGAACTATGTCCACGACAGAAAAGATGATGCTAAAGATGCTTACATTAAGAAATGTAAGAACAACAAACTAAACATGAAGTCACTGACTGACTGCATGGTAGTCATTGCCACTGCTGAACTGGCAGAGAAGGGCCTTTCCAGAGACCTGTGTTCATAGGTCTACATAATTCATGGAAGATTTATGTAGCTAGAACAACCAAAATCTAAACATAAGAACATCTAATGATACAGAATGTGGAAACACACTAATTAATTAGAGGAGACGATTACAATGATCTATTTTAACGTGACATGAAAGAATCATTTCAGGCTTAAGTATTGTAGAGGGATGTATGAAAGTAGACATCATTATCTAGACCTGGTACACATATGGATACTACTGTTAAAAACAGAAGAAATAAAGAGTTGTGCAGCCCCTGTGACTTCACCCAACTTGCTTAGGAATCTAAGATCAAAGAAAATATTTGCTGGGAATGGAACAGGAAGAATTTATTCAACCAGAAAAAGCTCAAAGAGAAAAGGATGAGTACAAAAATCCTAAAGAAACTCATAGTAGCCAAAGAGATTAAGCAAATGAAACAGAAATTTTGAAAATGTTATAGAAAGAATAAAGCACTATGCAGAAAGAAGATACCACTACCCAAACTAAGTTAACAAAAACCTCAATCATTTAGCCATTTTCAGCTCATTTAAAGATTTCTACACAGTGCAAAACAGTTTGAACAAGTTGGAACAGACAAAACCCAAGTAATTTTATGCCTAGTTGTTTTGAAATAGTCCATCAGAAAAAAAAAAAAAAACCTAAAAAATATGCTTTATGCTTTTTCTCAATACCCTACTCATGTGAAATCAAGCTAACATCTTTTATGCTCTGTTAAACTTCGAAGGACTAAGAGGTCATCCTTCTATAATGTTAGCTAACAACCTCCACTGAAATATTTTCTTACTTCAGTTGAAGAATGCATTTTCACCTAAATCAACAAGTTGAAGTGGAAATTTTGAAGCCATGGAGTGTATTCACTTCTCTAAGCTCTGATGATAAAGACAGCACAATTAACCACTAGCTTTAAATTAGAATTTGGAGAAGCATGCCAATAAAACCATTCTTAAATACACTGTTAATTTTTATGGTATTTAAAAAATGCTGTCCAACAGAGACAGTGTGTTAATGAGCTGGAACAACAAACATTTCTTGGAAAGTTTATGTTTTATTCTGTTGGGCTCTAAATTTCTGTGTTTTTCTGATTAAGCACAATGCTAGAATTATGTTTTCTAATTAATGCTTTCATGCAGAATTCACAATGGCTTTTGAAAGTTCTTCTTTTTATTGAAAGCAAACAAAAGACCACCCAACCCAAAAACATATCTGTTAAAACTCAGCATCTATTTTGCATTACAAAGCAAATGTCAAATACTCTTATCAGAATCAACTGAGTAACCTTTACAGAACAACTACTTCAATTATTTTCCTCCAAGTTCCACTGAAAATTCTGTTCTGAAAATAAGGCAGGGATTATTGTTTTAGCTCAACCTGTAGATGAATATTGGTGTTTAGTAAGTGTGCAGCAATTACTGCATAGGTGTGTAGTGGTAGGTTATCTGATTTTGGCTAAAATCTTGAAAGACAAGGACTTAGTCAATCTATTATTTCTGTATCTCTTTCAAAGGATTCAAAATTCTCCTGAAGTATTTATAAAAATTCTAATGATCCACTGTACACAGCTCTTGTGTAGCATACCATATTTCTTACATGGAAGCTTATGTGTGAATATCATGACATTTGACTAGAATCATAGAATAGTTTGAGCCTTTTAAAGGTCATCTAGTCCAATCCCTCTGCAATAAGCAGGGACACATTGAACTATCAGAGGGACACATTCACCATCAGGTGTCTCAGAGCCTCATCCAAACCTTGAAAGTTTCCAGCATGAGGCACCTACCACCTCCATGGGCAATCTGTTCTAGGTTTCTTCATAAAAACCTTTCTTCCTTATATCTAATCTGAATCAATCTGAAACTCCTCCAGTTTAAAACCATTA